CACAAAGTCTCCATCGTTTGTGAACTGTGCTGAGCCTGGAGAGCCCTGGTGTCTACAAGTAGACCCTGCATGGGTTAGGTGAGCGAGCAGTGGCACAGCTACAAGCCACATCCCAGCATGAAGGAGGATGGAATCAACATTCCTCACGTGCTTATATAGTACAGGACAGTGAGGCTCAAGGGGAGTATTGTGTGTAGAGCATGCTGATGAATATGGGATATTCCCAGCAGTGACACACTGAATTGCTTTTTGCCTACAGGGAAAATACCCACTGAATGCAAAAAAATATTCATTTGATGTGTTTAACTGATATCGACTTACTTTCCTATTACCTCTGGATAGTTTTTAAGTAGCTAAATAGCCAGATATATCAGTATTAAATGTTTGGTGAGTATTGCAACATAAAATGTAATATACTTTATTTGCATTAGCCACTCCATTCACTTACTATACTTTTACTACATTTCCCATTTTCTGTGTGTTGGCTGTGTTGCTGAATGGAGCTCACTTTCAAAATCGAAAGAAATCGAAGCCTGAAGATGGCACGTGCCGCATGTACAGTATCACCTGTCCTCATGACATTGATCCAAGAGTGCTGTGCATTACAATTTCACAGCCCCACTCAGAAATATGCCTCTCTAACCTGGTATAAAACGTATATAAGGGCTGTGTGAACTAATTCTCAATTTAGTAAAAGAATAATATTAACTATTTGTTAATAATATTAATGACAATTCTAATAAGATGTGGTAAAAATTGTCACTATAAAATGAATTTCCTAAAACAATGTTTTAGGCTGCCTAACACCCGAAGAAAGCTCCACAGCTAAAACATTTCCTTTCTTCTCTTCTTTGCATAGAATAAACCTATTACTTGTTCCTATTGACTATCGTGCTTGTCTACAATGTAATAGTGCCGCTTCAAATCTGCAGAATTTTTCCCTCTTCCTTAATTGCAAAACAAGGTACTGCGCATACCTGGAAAGCTCGTCTGTTTTGTGGTGTAAATTGGAGGTTTTACGTTGCTCTGTACATTTTAATTGCTTTGTGGATTGAATTTCAGTTATCAATTCCTATTCTTTCTAACCCCAAAATATACAAATAGCATTGCAGTTCCCCTTTAAATCATTACTTGAATGACTGTATCCTCCATAGACACTACAAATAATACAAACAATGAAATATCAGTTTTGCTTCTTTTGTGTTTGCTGTCTAGTTTTTTCAGAATCTCAAAAGAGCAGACACTGCTGCGATTTGTTGTGCTTGGTGGTGTCCAAAAGGAAGGTGAGATCCATTATATTTAAATGTAGGCTACTCATTTTGTATCAGTTGTTCCATGTCCAGCATTTTGGAATTTAAACTCCAGTAATGAAAGGTTAA